GGGGGGGTGGGTGGGGGGTCTTGGAAAAGGGAAAAGGGGGGGGGGGGGGGGTTATGAAGGGTAATATCCACAGACTGTGGCGGAATGAAAGAATAATAATTCCTGTTGCCTGTTTTAAAAACTTGGGGAAGTTCACTGTTCTGGTGTGGCCGTTATCATTATATTATTTTACATTTGTATTATAAATCATAGGTACTTACTGGGTGCTTTCGGCCCTCTGGATAAGATCAGTTGTGATGCGTGGCTTTGTGCTGCGGCAAAAGGTGATGGGCTCTCCGTGATGAGGGATGTTACTGCAAACAGAAGCTGGATGCCTATAGCCGACGCTCCCTCTAAGCTGTGGAGTCTCATGAGCAAAAATTCTACTTTGTGAGCTATTGGCATTAAAGTTGTGAGCGAGCGATTATTATTTATTTATTATTATTATTAGATTTATAGCCCGCCCTCCCCACAAATGGGCTCTGGGCGGCTCACAGATAGGGCTTATGTGCCAACAGTTAAAACAATTAAAAACAAGATAAAGCAATCGCTCAATTACAACAATACAAAGGTAGTGGTGAAAGTAGTGGCAGCTCCTACTCAAAAGCCTGGCGGAAGAGCTCCGTCTTAAAGGCCCTGCGGGACTGCGATTGGGCTACTGCATAAATCAGTTTGCTCCGGAGCCCTCCTTCCTGAGCTAAGACAAAAAGGTGTGAGCCGGAGGCTAAAAAACTGTGAGCTAGCTCACCCTAACTCAGCTTAGAGGGAACACTGCCTATTGGATGCGCGGGGCATTGGATTTCCTGTCCATATCGGGGTGCGGGACTGGATGTCCTTACCAGACGCTCCTTCCAGCTCTGCCCCTTGCGCGCCTGAACGCTGGGGGGGGGGTGGAGGAAGCCGGGGGACGTGGCCCACACAGCCTTTTGACGTGTCTCCTTGTCCCCAGGCGTGGTCACCAAGATGAAGATGCAGCGCACCATCGTCATCCGGAGGGACTACCTGCATTACATCCGCAAGTACAACCGCTTTGAGAAGCGTCACAAGAACATGTCGGTGCACCTGTCCCCCTGTTTCAGGTAAAGGCGTGTGTGGGATCTTGAGTGGGCTGGCCCTTGAGGACAGCTTGAAGACTGGATTGGTGCTCTTTGGACCGTCACCTGCCCAGTCGGGTTGTCTCTTCCCTCTGAGAATCCCATAAGTGTTTCAGCTGGCACAGATACAGTCTTTGTGATTCTCTGGAGCCATGCAGAGGGCATCGTGAGGTCTCGTTCTCCATGTGGGGTGTGATCACCATCAGGGGTCATTGCGTAGAAAGAGGTGCAGGAGCTCATTAGCACAACTCATTTGCATGTGCCACACCCGCTGACCTCACCAGAAGTGTGTCAGAAGGCAACACCCACCACTCAGGTTCCACTGGACTGTTTTGGATTGCTAGCTATGGGGGGGGGGACTGTAGATCTGTCCTCGTAGAGGAGGGAGACCTTGTACCTGAATAAAACCTGGTCTTAAAGGTGCCACTGGACTGTTTTGTGCTGGGGGGGCGGGGGAAGCTCTGCAACTTACCTGGCTGCTTCTTGCTCTGACTGAGGGCTGCTGGGAGCAGGGGGTGGGGCTTGTTGCTTGTGCCCGCCCCCTGGGCGCTTTACTGCCGGAGCTCCGCTCCCGTGCGCTCCTGCAGGAAATGACCCCTGATCACCATGTTCCTCAAAGGATCTCAAAGCAGCAGCTTTTGATTGCCTGAGAGCCAGTTTGGTGTAGTGGTTAAGTGCGCGGACTCTAATCTGGGAGAACCAGGTTTGATTCTCCACTTGCACCTGTTGATGTGACCTTGGGTTAGTCACAAGCTCTGGCACAGCTGTAGCTATACCTTTTTGTGTGTTGAGGGAAAGAAACATGCATTTCTTTGTACCTTGGTTTGCGGTTGGAATTTGAGCACTCTGGGCTGGTGATGATGTGTGAACTCACGATGGTCTTCAGAGCCTTTTCTGCAGAATTGGGGAGTGGGCTGCTGAATACGACACTTTGTCAATCACTGAACCGCCCCGCCCCCCCCAGGTTTGCTCAGATCCAGCAGTCCAGTGCCAGAAGCGTTAGTCAGTAACGTGCTTTCCAGTTAGCTCACCACGTTCACTGCCTGTGTATGGGGTTACTTCTGTGAAGGCCAAAAGGGGGGAGCCGGGATCTCTTTCTTTTGCACAGTGGTCCGCAAAACTTAGGTGGCATTGACACCAGGCCTCCTCCTGTGTAGCTTTTCGCGATCTCTGCTTGCTGGAGGATGCGGGTGATGGTTCTTTCTTACTATCCTAGATGCCCACTGTAGGGATACTAATATGGCTTCCTTAAACTGAGATCATCTCTCATCTGTCCAGGAAGTGAAATAACAGGGGTTGTATGGGGATACAGGTAGACCATGGCTCATTATTATAAGGTTCTTCAGCATGCAGTTGTCTCTATTACCTTTCTAGTCTAATTCTTCACCCCATTTTGCCCTCGCGACGGCCCTCTGCATCAGGTTAGACTATCTCAATGTTTGGGTTAGTTAAGGTAGTACTAAGTAGCTCAGGGACGGGCAGGGTTCTAAGTAAAAGGGTGTAGCCCTCCTCGTTTCTGTACCATTTTACGGGCTGCTCTGTAACACTTAACTGCTAGTGGGTAACAGATGCTGCAGTCTTGTAGCCAGTTTGGTGTAGTGGTTAAGTGCACGGACTCTAATCTGGGAGAACCGGGTTTGATTCCCCACTCCTCCACTTGCACCTGGCTGGATGACCTTGGGCAAGCCGTAGTTCTGATAAGAGCTGTTCTAGAAAAAGAGCCGTTTCTGTCAGAGCTCAGCCCTGGAGAAACTACAGAAAAAAAGAAGCATGAGACAACAGGAGTTTGTAAGCTGCTCTGAGACACCTTTGGGTAGTGAAGGGCAGGGTATAAATCCAATCTCTTCTTCTTCTACAAAGAGCAGGATGCCAGTAACAATCCTAATTCAAGATGTTAAAATGTAGTTGTTCGATGATTTTACAATTCTTGCTTTATTTATGTTGTAAATGGACTTGAGTTCCACAAGGCAGAAGAGCGGCTAGTAGATATTTTAAATCAAAAAGTGCACCTTGCTGTTTGAACCGTTCCCTCCTAAAGCTGTTGGTGCTCTCTTGTCTTTCTTTCTTCCGCCTTCAGGGATGTGCAGATCGGGGACATCGTGACGGTGGGCGAGTGCCGTCCGCTCAGTAAGACGGTCCGCTTCAACGTCCTCAAGGTGACCAAGGCTGCCGGTACCAAGAAGCAGTTCCAGAAGTTCTGAAGTCTATTCTTGTCTGTTGGGATGTGCAAATAAACTTTTTGTAAAGACCCATAAGGCTTTGGAGTGGTGTGATTGTGAAGGGAGGGTGCGAAGGTGCAGTTCTTCAGCTTTGCTCAACCCTGTTTAGAAGACCAGCCAGGGTATTGTGTGTACAGGCACCTTAGGGAGGGGACTGGTCATGTAGCTCAGTGGGAGAACACACGGATTGCATGTATATATTTCAAACAGAGGACCATTGTGTGCGAACTTGGGGGGTCCATTTTTGATCCCCTGTTCTTGGTAGACCCTGTCTTGAACTGGGCCAGTAGAACCCTGTGGCTTTGCTTCCTTCGAGCCTTCCAAGTCCATGAGGGTGTGGAGCCATTTCCTGGTGGGTCAGAGGAACCTGCTCCTCATTGGCTGCTTCGGCCTCAGTGTACTGCTAATGTTGATCTGTGCTAGGAGAGCCAGTTTGGTGTAGTGGTTAAGTGCGCGGACTCTAATCTGGGGGAACCGGGTTTGATTCCCCACTCCTCCACTTGCACCTGCTGATGTGACCTTGGTTCAGTCACAAGCTCTGGCACAACTTTCCTTTAAAAAGAGCCATTTCTGTCAGAACTCTCTCAGTCCCACCCCCCTCACAGGGGGTGTCTGTTGTGGGGAGGGGAAGGGAAAGGAGTTTGTCAGCCACTCTGAGACTCCAAGGGAAGGGCGGGGTATAAATCCAGTCTCCTCTTCTTTAAAAGGTGTGCGGCTCTTAGGGGTCGGAATGGGTGCAGCAAATGTTGCTCTTCCAGCTCTCCTTGTGGTTGAAAAGGGATCTGCACCGGCAGCAGCATGTGATCCTAAAACATGAACATGTTCACAGGCCTCAGGGGTGATTGTGATTCTCTGTGTAGTCTGCCTCCAACACCCAGGCTGGGCATAGAAACCTCTCTCCAAGGAGATTCCAGTACCTGCATTCTTTAGGTTTAGACTGGGCAGGAGGAATATTTTTGCTGGTTCCGCTCCCACGTGGTAAGAGTGCCTTCCCCAGCAGAATAATAACATAAGCAGAGCTCTGCTGGGTCAGGCCAGTGAGGTTCCATCCAGTCCAGCCTCCCGTCTCACACGGGCCAGCCAGTCCCTCCGGAGGGCCAGCAACGGCAGAGAGGCCGAGGCCTTCCCCTGAGAAGAACCCTGCTGGGTCAGACCAGGGAGGGTCCATCTAGTCCAGCCTCCCGTCTCACACGGGCCAGCCAGTCCCTCCGGAGGGCCAGCAACGGCAGAGAGGCCGAGGCCTTCCCCTGAGAAGAACCCTGCTGGGTCAGACCAGGGAGGGTCCATCTAGTCCAGCCTCCCGTCTCACACGGGCCAGCCAGTCCCTCCGGAGGGCCAGCAACGGCAGAGAGGCCGAGGCCTTCCCCTGATAAGAACCTCAGAAGAGCCCTGCTGGGGCAGGCCAGTGAGGGTCCATCTAGTCCAGTATCTTGTATCACACGGGGGCCAGTCTAGTATGAAAAAATATATATAGATGTGTGCTAGATGCCCACAGATTAATTTAATGACAAAAGAGACTAGATTAAAGCCATAACATCATTTAGTGTCTAGTAATGAAAAACAACCACTTATTCCTTCACAGAAAAAATACAAAGGTCAATAAAATTACACATAGCAGTCTGCTCCAAATTCAATCTCTTTCAACACTTATTCTGGATATTAAAGTGTTTCAGACCTTTGGTCTTTCCTCAGGAACAAATCATAGCATCATAGGATGTTACAGTTGGAAGGGACCTTGTAGGTCATCTACTCCAACCCCCCTGCACTCTGCAGGAGCATAGCCGAAAGACAGCCCTACAACATACCTGAAAGATGGTTGCCCAGCCTCCGCTTGAAAACGTCCAGCGAAGGAGCCTCCACCACCTCCCGAGGCAGACTGTTTCACTGCTCGACCACTCTTCCAGTTAGGACATTTCTGATATTTAGCCGGTAACAACTCCCTTGTAATTTCCACCCATTCGATCTAGTCTTGCAATCTGGAGCAAGAGAGAACATGTCCGCACCATCTTCTACATGACAGCCCTTCAAATACTTGAAGGCTGCAATCATGTCCCCTCTAATCCTATATAGGAATCTCGCATTCAATGTCTCACATTCAAGTTGACACAATCATTGGTTTATTTTTACTATTTTTATGTTAATCTACTTGCGCAAGGTCTCCTCACTGATTTCCAAGCTGCCGCCGCCAAAGTCAAACGGACCCAAGCGATGCCTCCCTAAAAGTATCGTGGGCCCAAGGCACTGTGCCTGCTGTGCCTACTTGATAAATTGGCCCAGGAGACCACCATGGATGTACAAGAGCTGCTACACAGAGGCAGTGTGTCTTTTGCCCTGACCACAAGAGGGAATTGGATAAACATCTGGAACAGAGGTCCACGAATGGCTATTGGCCACAAGGTATAGAGGGAACTGCGGTGGCTCAAGTGGTTGCTGAACTGCAGGCTGTGGAAGGTCGGTAGTTCAGCAGTTCGAGACCCGAGTGTGCCGCATGACGGAGTGAGCTCCCGTCTCTAGTTCCAGCTCCGGCCAACCTAGCAGTTCGAAAGCAAGAAATTGCAAGTAGATCAATAGGTACCACTTCGGTGGGAAGGTAACAGCATTCCGTGCGCCTCGGTGTTTAGTCATGCCGGCCACATGACCACGGAAACGTCTTCGGACAGCGCTGGCTCTTCGGCTTTCAAACGGAGATGAGCACCGCAACCCTAGAGTCGGACTTGACTGGCTTTCGAGCAGGGGAACCTTTTACCTTTATAGAGGGAACCCTCTGTCTGGGGCAGATCAAGATGGGTGGCCGTGTTTGTCTGTAGCAGGAGAAAAGAGCAAGAGTCCAGGAGCACCTGAAAGACTAACAACGTTTGTGGCAGGGGAGGACATTTCACGAGTGAGCAGTGACTCATGAAAACTCATACCCTGCACATATTTTGTTAGTTTTTAAGGTGCTCCTGGACTCTTGGGGTGGGGCCACAGTGGGAGGGGGCTTCTGGAGTTCTGGACCTGATGGCACCTGGTATTTTTGGCCCCTGTGTGACACAGAGTGCTGGACTGGATGGGCCATTGGCCCGATCCAACATGGGTTTCTCTTATGTTCTAAAGGTGCCGTCACCGTAGCTGGATGCCACTATGTTGGAAGGCTGAAGGTCATATTTTCCCTCACAGCAACATGTAGTCTCTGGGTTGGTTAGAAAGATAACAGTACAAAGCAAAGCAATAGACACCTGGCTTGAAAATCTCATGCAGATAAAGTATTAATAAAGCTACCTCTGTTCTTCTAAACGGACTGGAAGTGTATACAGAAGAAACAAGGGACAGGATCCAAGCTACTGTTCCTCAAAGAAGTACTTCTGTTGTGGGGATGTTGTACATAACTGTTCTTTGCTGGGTTTATTATTAATTTTTAAAAATGTTGGTAGTTGTTTCCTGCTCCCTCAGGGCTGTCATGTACAGTTTCTTTGATTTGAATAAAAAAATAAAGAAAAGTGGCAAATGAAGAAGTAGAAGAAGAGAAGAGATTGGATATATATCCTGCCCTTCACTACCCAAAGGAGTCTGAGGGGCTTACAATCCCTTTCCCTTCCCCTCCCCTCCCCACAACAGACACCCTGTGAGGTAGGTGGGACTGAGAGAGCTCTCTCAAGGACTACCCTTGAGAGAACAGCTCCAAGAGAACTTGTGACTGAAGAAGAGATTGGATTTGCACCATGCCCTTCACTACCCGAAGGAGTCTCAGAGCGGCTTACAAACTCATTTCCCCTCCCCTCCCCACAGCAGACACCTTGTGAGGTAAGTGGGGCTGAGAGAGCTCTGACAGAAACTGCTCTTTTTCAAGAACAGCTCTGAGAGAACTGTGACTGGCCCAAGGTCATCCAGCAGCTGCAAGTTGAGGAGTGGAGAATCAAGCCTGGTTCTCCCAGAGTAGAGTCCGCGCGCATAACCACGACACCAAACTGGCTCTCCCTCAGTTCAGCTACTCCCATCCATCACCCACTGGTGAGAGGTCATGCAGCTCATATTAACCTGAAGCAAATAGGGTGCTATGGGGGGAAACGCAATGCTTGACTCCTCTCCAAGGGCCCCAGGAAGATCTTTCCCCAGCTGGCAAGAGCAGCTGCCTCACAAGACATCCTTGGAAAATGCTCCAGACTTCTGGTTTGTGGATTGGCGATGGCGGTTGCTCTCCCCGGACCTTGGGGGAGCAATTAGCACACCAGCAGCATGGAGGGGTGCTACATCAAGTGGCATCCCCACGGAGCCTTTGTGATAGGCTCCAGGACAGAGGGCTTTTGAGGGTTAGCCTCTTTGACAGCTTGATGCCGGAGAATCGAGGCTTCCCTCCGCCCTGACAATCCTGCCGTTGTGTGGCCTCCGGGCACAAGCTAATTCGTCCGGGACAAGCGTGGGAGATCGAGTGGAATAATGAATGATGTGAGCGAGGTCAGAGATATGACCAACAATGAACACAAGTTCAAAGTAAACGGAGTATTTAAAAAAAACAGATTACACCCCACCCCCACCCCCCGTGGGAAAAGCAGAGCGCAAAGAGGGACGCCTCTTAAGCGCATGGACATACAAACGTATCGAAGGGGGAAGGGAGGAAATAAACAGTGAGTTTATTTTGAGAGACTTACGTGAGTGCCGATAGTGACGCGACAAGTTTTTCGAGCCCTTGCAAAGCGGTTTGAAATTGTAAACAAAACTGTAAAATGAGGACTCTGTGGTTGAAACGGGTGTGGGAGCAATGAAAGTTGTATACGATTTTAGAGATAGAAAACCAAAGTAAGGGCAGAAGGACTTTGAAAATCGCCTTTTGAAGTAAAGAAGATGCTCAGAAAGTTATCTCATAATAACTAACATATTAACATAGAAGCTGTGAAAAACAAGAACTTTACAAGTGTATTGTGTTACTAACACTTTAGTGACTAGTATTTAGTTTAACACGGATATGATCTCCTTCTCTTGGGTTTTTAGTTAGTGTGGGTATCTTTTCTTTATCCATAGTTGTAGTCCCCCCCCCATTTGTTTCTTTGTAGTTATGTAGTCTTATGAAAAAATAATAAAAATATCCCTTCGGGGTTTTTTTAAAAAAAGAAAAGGAAATGCTCCAAAGGGATCCCCAGTAGAGCAGAGCCCGGAGTGTGGTGTTGTGCGACTCGCAGCCATCCCCTGACAGTTCCTCTTAGTACAAGACAAATACTTCTGGATTCGTGGCTGAAACCTCCATGCCGACAGAGGAGGTTCTGCTGCACCAACAGGCCGACGTGCCCTGGTAAGCACTGCCATTTTCTCTCATCCCTTTGGGCAACCCGGGGGCTGACATGCCGAAGACGCTCTGTTGAGTGTGTGCTGAGAGTGTGTATGCGAGTTCACCAGCAACTCCCGCATTCCATAACCAACAAAACCATCACAGCTCACCACACACTTCAAAGTCACTCCAGGAGGTGCTGAGGAGAGATCTCAAAAGCCCAGTCCGGCACCTGGGAGTGACCGCTGGACAGGCAAATTCAAGCACCCACGGTGCCACAAGTCGACCTTTGATGCAGATCCACTGAGAAAGACCAGAGCAGGAGAAGAAGACAGGGAGGCTGGAATTCAAGTGCCAAAGGGACACCTGCAGTTTCTCCTTGAAGAACCAGGTAATTTCACAGCAAAAAAAGGCAGAACGGGGTCTTTTAAATCTGCTCCATATAACCTGCATTGGCTGAGCTGTACACGAAATGTTCCTTCAAGATTTTTCATGCGGTAAGAGCATTCATACGTGACCCCAAAAACAGGACAAAGAGGTGGGTGAACTGAAGTTAATTCCCTGGGTTGTTTTCAGACACGAGACTCGGCAGATTCAGTTTCAGAGGGCTTCGTGAGACAAGCGTAAAACCTACTTTGGCCGAAATGGTCATTTGCATCACAAATGCCTCTTCTCCCCTTTCAGCATCCACCTTAACAGCAATTGAACTACAGCTCAAAGTCGATTCCACACGTGTGAATTCATCCTCATGCCTGGGCTAAGGAGACCTGGGGTCTTTGGGAGGAGGGGAGCAGTGTCATAGAATCATAGAGTTGGAAGGGCTCCTACAAAGACCATCTAGTCCAGCCCCTTGTCCAATGCAGGACCAGCCTAGAGTATCTCTGACAAATGTTCATCCAGCCTCTTCTTAAAGGCTGTCAGTGAAGGGGAGCTCCCCACCTCCCAAGGCAGCTGATTCCACCTTTGAACCACCCTGACCGTGAGAAAGTTTTTCCTAATTTCCAGCCAATACCTTTCTGCGTGTAACTTAAACCCATTGCTTCGGGTCCTGTCCTCTGCTGCCAACTGGAACAGCTCCTTGCCCTCCTCCAAATGACAGCCTTTCAGATATTTAAAGAGAGCAACACAGGTTCCAACTCACACACATGAGAAGGGGAACTCAAAGCCCTCCAAAGATTTCCCCAGGGGCCCGGCATCGGATTTGCCCTGGAGCAGTGGATAGAGGTGGTTTCCACACTGACATTTTATTCCACTTTGCTTCCCAAATTATTTTTTAACAATGTGAAAAACGTCCCTATGACATTACTAGGCAGTCGTGCGCCTTCTAGGTTTCTCCTGCTCTGCTGTGATTTTTTCCCAAACTTGCTATGGTATGATCGTTCCAGAAAGATTGTTGTCAAAGTGGGTTTGTCCACTATGTGGGTAGGAAGGTGCAGATTTTCTGTACAATGATATAGCTAGAACTGATTTTTCTTTTTAAAAGCCAGCTAAAAGCTCCACTGAGCACCATGATTCCTACCTCTGAGGGTCAAACCATAAGATATGTTTGCCAAGAGTTGGGTTGGACTTTCCCAGACAGGCTGGGAATTGTGTTTACAAATATGCTGGGGCTCAGTTCCATTCAGGAGTGTGTCACAGACTGGTCGAATCTGCATTTGTCTTTCCCCACCGGTGTCCCAGCCTTCTGACACTGTCTTCAAAAAAGCTGTCTACATTTGGTGTCGTTTTCACACCTCAACAGTGCTGTCATACTTTTGCACATCTGCATATGTTTATCGCCCTATTGTGGTGGCTCCACTGTCATTGCACCTCCACACTGCTTTAAAAGAATCTTCTCCAAACAACATTCAAACAAGCATAGAGAAGGACGGCGTCACAGCAGCATGAGACTGCTCTCAAAATGCAAATGCAGATTCGACCAGAGAGAGGAGGTCCTCAGCTTTCCCTCCAGCACCAGTTTGGGGAGCCAAAATGTCCAAGAGGGGCCTGATCTCTCCCACTTGCTCCGAGTGCTGCCCACAGGAGGGCTGTTTTGGCTCCCCAAAACCAAGCAGAAGGGAAGGCTGAAGCCCCTCCTCTTGAGCAGAGTCAGGCCCCCAGAGCCTTTGGGAAAGTCCCAGTGTAAGGTCTGTCAATGCAAGATGAGCCGGGGTACCCTGACAAGGCTAAGGCAGATGAATCACTTTGTTTGCCCTTATGACCCTCTCTCGGCATGCATGCCATCCAGGCTGAAAGGGTGGGGAAAAGGACTTGGGGCTTGTCTTCTGGCAGTCACCCTTCCTACCCCTAATGTGTCTCACGGAACTCTTGTGAAGCCAAGGGTAGTGCATGTGTTGCCTTGCCCTCCTAGGTATAGAATCATAGAATGTTAGAGTCGGAAGGGACCTTGCAGGTCATTCAGTCCAACCCCCCTGCACTCTGCAGGAGCGTAGCTGAAAGATAGCCCTACAACATACCTGAAAGATGGTCATCCAGCCTCCACTTAAAACGTCCAGCGAAGGAGCCTCCACCCCCTCCCGAGGCAGATTGTTCCACTGCTCAACCACTCTCACAGTTAGGAAGTCTCTCCTGATATTTAGCCGGTATCGACTCCCTTGTCATTTCCACCCATTAGACCTAGTCTTGCAATCTGGAGCAAGAGAGAATAGATCCGCTCCATGTTCTTCATGACAGCCCTTCAGATATTTGAAGACTGCAATCGTGTCCCCTCTAAGCCTTCTCTTTCCCAGGCTAAACAGACCCAACTCTTTCAGCCTTTCCTTCTGTTTTCCAACCCTCTCACCATCCTGGTTGCCCTCTTCTGGACACACTCGAGCTTGTCAACATCCTTCCTAAAATGTGGTGCCCAAAACTGGACACAGGACTCCAGGTGAGGCCTGACCATAGCAGAATAGAGCGGAACGACCACCTCCCGTGATCTGGACACGGGGTATGTGGATCCCACAGGTCTGTTTGACACAGAGACCAGAGTCTATTGCAGTCTATTAGTTTACACGTCAACAATTCTAATCCGTGAATTAACACCCAACATTCTTCCCACTTCAATGAAACAGATTCTTAGAGATTCTTAATTTTTACAATGTAAAAATACGATGCACTACAGAATAGTAGTCTAAATATATTTTCATAATGTAACATTGCAGTAATTCAATTTCTTTAGCATTTGTTTGGATGCTGACTGTTGCACTCTTCTTGGTTTCTGCCGTTGATCTTTCCATTGAGAGCTCACGTGAGCTGAAAACAGGTCATAAATCCCCCCAAAGAATCAAGCAGTGCTAAAGAATTATTTATTTATTTATAATTTCGGTTTATGAATCGCGCTCTATCCCTGGTGACTCAGGGCTCTGAGCGATGAACAACAGCGATAAAAACAGTTCCCAACAATTAAACAGTTCCCAACAATTAAACAATGAAATAAAAACAGTTCCCAACAATTAAACAATCTAAGTAAAAAGAATTCATAGAGGGCGTTATCAGATTCTAGACCATGTGGCCACTTCCTAAGCACAGTAGGAGGAAAATAGCTGGAAGAGAGGTGGAGAAGGAGGCAAAGGGCCAAGATGGTACCCGTTGCTGCCCTCAACCAAAGGCCTCGTGGCACATCTCTGTTACTGACAGTGTTCCCTCTGAGCTGAGTGAGTGTGAGCTAGCTCACAGTTTTTTTAGCCTCTGGCTCACACATTTTTGTCTTGGCTCAGGAAGGATGTGGCTCCAGAGCAAACTAATTTATGCTGCAGCCAAATCGCTCGTTCACAACTTTAATGCCAGTGGCTCACAAAGTAGGATTTTTGCTCAGACAAGACTCTCCACAGCTTAGAGGCACCACTGGTTCCTGGCCCCCTGCCCCTGACTCTAACTCACGATATTGTTTTGTGTGTTGAACTGTAGGGGGAAGACGACGTTCTAGAAGACTGGTGGTGCGTCATGCTAAACCCCAATGCGACAGGAGGCCGGCCTTTCGCCTTCTTCCTCACCGGGTTCTCAGGGCTCGGAGCTGGCCGTCAGCTCTGGCTCTCCGTCCCAATCTGCTTTATGTATCTCGTCGCTCTTTCCGGCAACTGCCTGATCCTCGCGGTGGTCCAGCTGCACCCCAGCCTCCACGAGCCCATGTACCTATTCCTCTCCATGCTGTCTCTCACTGACCTGGGCCTGTCCCTTTCCACCTTGCCAACGGTCCTTCAGATCTACGCCTTCGGCTCCAGGGAAATCTCCGCCGACGCCTGCCTGGCCCAGCTGTTCTTCATCCACACCTTCTCCGTCATGGAGAGCTCCGTGCTGCTGGCCATGGCCTTCGACCGCTTTGTCGCGATACGCCACCCTCTGCGGTACGTCTCGGCGCTGACCCGAGGCAGGATCGGGGGTATCGGGCTGGCCATTGCCCTGAGAGGGGTGGGGCTTCACATCCCGGCCCCCGTCCTGTTGAAGAGGCTGCCCTATTGCCGGAGCCACCAGCTCGCCCACTCCTACTGTCTCCATCCGGACGTGATGAGGCTGGCCTGTGCAGACACGGCCCCCAACAGCGCCTACGGCCTCTTTGTCCTCCTCTCCACGCTGGGCCTGGACTCCTTGCTCATCCTCCTCTCTTACGTCCTGATCCTCAGGACCGTGCTGAGCATCGCTTCTCGGGCGGAGCGCTCGAAAGCCCTGAGCACCTGCGTCTCCCACGTCTGCGCCGTCCTGCTCTTCTACACGCCGCTCATCAGCTTGTCCATGATCCACCGCTTCTGGAAGGCGGCCCCCCACCACACCCGCATCCTCCTCTCCTACCTCCACTTCCTGGTCCCGCCCGTGCTGAACCCCGTGGTCTACAGCATAAAAACCCGGCAGGTTCGAAAGCAGATCGTCAGGCTGTTCCGGCAAAAGAATCTGACCAGGCGCAGGAAGGATCCTGCCTTTTTGGACCCCTAGAGAGGAGCTGTGGTGGCTCACGTGGTTAAGACGCTGAACTGCAGGCTGTCGAAGGTCGGTAGTTCAGCGGTTTGAGACCCGAGTGTGCCGCATGACGGAGTGAGCTCCCATCTCCAGTTCCAGCTCCTGCCAACCTAGCAGTTCGAAAGCAAGAAATTGCAAATAGATAAATAGGTACCACTTCGGTGGGAAGGGAACAGCGTTCCGTGCGCCTAGGTGTTTAGTCATGCCAGCCACATGGCCATGGAAACATCTTCGGACAGTGCTGGCTCTTCGGCTTTGAAACGGAGTTGAGCACCGCAACCCAAGAGTCGGATTCGACTAGCTTTCGAGCAAGGGAACCTTTACCTTTACCTTTTAGAGAAAAGTAGCACAATGGAACAGTTTGCAATGTGCTTTAAGCACTTCATTTTTCAGCATCACCCATCCTTCCTGTGCAGATTTCCCCCTCAGCATTTCCAGCCATGGGATCCTACCTAATATTTCTCTGAGTTTTTTTAAATCAGCTTTCCTGAAGTCCAGGATACAAGCCCTACTATGTCCTGGTTACACATCCTTCTCTATGTCAAATTCCAAGGTGACATGGTCACTATTCCCCAAGGATCCCACAACATTCACTTCATCAACCATTTCTTCCCTGTTAGTCAGGATTAAATCTAGGATAGCAGATCCTCTGGTTCCCACCTCGAACCTTCTGAGAGATGAAGTTGTCCGCAAGACTATTCAAGAATCTGCGGGATGCCCTATGTCTAGCAGAGTTAGATTTCCAGCAAATATCTGGATAGTTGAAACCTCCCATAACCACTACATCCTGTCTCTGTTTCCTTGTGTGCTGAGTCCCTGAGCGCACTCAGATCTCTAAACTGGGAAGGCAGCCATTGACCATGTCCTCACCTCAAGAGCTGGAGCAAGCTTCAAGGTAGTGGTGACTCTATAGAGATCTATAGCATCCTAAGCAAAAGGAACCTGTCCTATTAACATGTGATAGGGCATGTATGGGGGGGGGGGGGCAACAGTGGGAGGGCTTCTGGTGTCCTGGCCCCACTGCTGGACCCCCTGAGAGCACCTGGTATTTTTGGCTACGGTGTGACAAGATGGGCCATTGGCCTGATCCAACATTGGCTTCTCTTATGTTCTTATACAGAAAGGAACAGAGGAAGTGTGTTTTACCCATTTCTTTTGGATCCCTTGCTCAGTCTGGTGCTGTGCTAAAAGTATGGTTTTAACCCGTCATGTAGGGAAGACCATGTTCCCGAGTGTTTTTATATGGAAGAGAAACATTCTGTATCTGGATACTGCGTGTACCAACGCAGACTGTGAGCCTGCAAGAAGAGGGTGTTTTTACTTTTGTACTGTCTTCAGCTCTGTATAAGTTTGTGAATGTTATCACTTTGGCACATCAACTGAATGCATTAAAATACTTAGCATTTACATAGGACTTCAGTGTATTCAAAAGTGCTTCCCCTGTCTTCTCTCAGTAATCCTTAAAACAACCCTCATGGGCAAGCCAGTATCCCCACACTGTAACACCTGAAGAAGAAGTGAGCAGTGACTCACAAAAGCTCATTCTCCGCCACAAAGTCTTTAAGGTACTACTGGACTCTTGCTCTTTTCTACTGCAATACCTTCTAACTGCATACAAATGAAAGAGCACCTACATGCATAAATACTTAAAAAAAAACTATTTCTAATTTGCAGAAACTCCTGAAAACACAGAATTCCCTCAAACATTCATTTCAGATAGAATGGGGGTGGGGAGTATGGGTGAAATACATTTTCATGGAGTTACAAAAGAAAGTGGTGTGTGGCTGGATTTTTTGGAAGAGGGGGAGGTGTGGACATTTCCCCTCTTAAATCTAGTTTAAATCAATGGAGATTTGCACAAGTTAATCATAGAATCATAGAATGTTAGAGTTGGAAGGGACCTTGCGGGTCATCTGGTCCAACCCCGTGCACTCTGCAGGAGCACAGCCGAAAGAGAGCCCTACAGCATACCTGAAAGATGGCCGTCCAGCCTCCGCTTGCAAACGTCCAGCGAAGGAGCCTCCACCACCTCCCGAGGCAGACTGTTCCACTGCTCAACCACTCTGACAGTTAGGAAGTTTCTCCTGATATTTAGCCAGTAACGACTCCCTTGTAATTCCCATCCATTAGATCTAGTCTTGCAATTGGGAGCAAGAGAGAATAGATATGCGCCATCTTCTACATGACAGCCCTTAAAATACTTGAAGACTGCAATCATGTCCCCTCTAATCTAAGCCTTCTCTTTCCCAGGCTAAACATACCCAACTCTTTCAGCCTTTCCTCGTAAGACTTGGATTCCAGCCCTCTCACCATCCTGGTTGCCCTCTTCTGGACACACTCCTAGCTTTTCAATATCCTTCCTAAAATGTGTTGCCCAAAACTGGACACAGTACATAATCAGTATGTCTGATTCTCCACATGGCTATTTCTCCACATGTGGATACTTAAATCCAGAGATTGCTGCCATGAACACAGCAGACAGATCTTCCCACAAATCTGGAAAACACCACAAAGACCCTAACCTCCCCCCTCCAAACAGGAGCAGCACCTGTAGGGGGAAGGTGCCTTCGGAGGCTCTTGCTAGGCAACCACAGCAGCATTGCTCACGGGTTCCAAAAGACTGGGGACCCCAGTCTTAAAATATGTTTTCCACTGAAACTGGCGGAGAGGACCACAAGAACAGATCACAAGTTCACAGAACCATTCAGCACCCTGAAGCTCACAGTGTCTGGCTTGGACATTGGGTTTCAATGACATGCAGAAAAGTATCCGCCGGATATTGGTCAACACTTGTTCACGGTCAGAGTGGTTCTTCAAAGGTGGAATCAGCTGCCTAGGGAGGTGGTGAGCTCCCCTTCACTGGCAGCTTTCAAGAAGAGGCTGGACGAATATTTGTCAGAGATGCTTTAGGCTGGTCCTGCATTGGGCAGGGGGGGTTGGACTACATGGTCTTTGTAGGACCCCTTCCAACTCTAGGATTCTATGACGCTATGATCATTCTCCACCTCTGTTCTGTCCTCACAACAACCCTGTGAGGTAGGTTAAGCTTAGGGCGTGTGGATGGCCCCCAAGGTCTCCCAGAGAGATTCCCTGGCAGAGTGGGGATTCAAACCCGGGTCTCCCAAATCCTGATTTAGCTCTCTAGCCACTCCACTCCACTAATGCTCATTAGAATTAAAAGGCATCTCCCCCACTCCCCCCAGTATCTCCTCCAAAAGCAGTCAGGTGAGTATTGGACCAGGGATCCTGCCAGAAGACAAGGGCTGTGTCTACAGTTCAGTGTAACTTCCATGCTTAGACACAGCATGCCACAAACTAGGGACACACAACAGGAAATGGCCACGGTGCTCCCTCTAAGCTGTGGAGTCTTGTGAGCAAAAATCCTACTTTGTGAGCTACGAGCCTTAAAGCTGTGAGCGAGTGATTGGGCTGCTGCATAGATTAGTTTGCTCTGGAGCCAGCTTTCCTGAGCCGAGACAAAAATGTGTGCTCCGGAGGCTAAAAGACTGTGAGCTGGCTCACACTCACTCAGCTTAGAGGGAACACTGCATCCCTTTCATGCATGATCAGCCTCTCAGAGATGTTTGGCTGACCACTGTGGGAGATGCGGGAGTTCCCATGCCCGTGTGTGTGTTTCTGTCCCACCATTAACCAAATGGGCTTCTAGTTTCCCAGCCCCACGGCTGGACCTCCTGAGGGCCCCTGGTACTTTTGGCCACTGTGTGACACAGAGTGTTGGACTGGATGGGCCATTGGCCTGATCCAACACTGGCTTCTCTCTTATGTTCTTATGTTCTTAAATATCCCACGTCTGTCTTCCAATATGCGTGTGTGGTCAAGAAAGGAACCCACATCTCATTTGCTATCAGGAATACACCAGTTCTCTCATTCCTGAGACCTCTCAGACAGTGTGGTGCCGTGGTTAAGTGCACAGACTCTAATCTGGGAGAGCCGGGTTTGATTCCCCACTCCTCCACTCGCACCTGCTGGATGACCTTGGGCAATCCATAGTTCTGTAAGAGCTGTCCTTGAAAAAGAGCAGTTTCTGTCAAGAGCTCTCTCGGCGCCACCTGCCTCACAGGGTGTCTGTCTGTTGTGGGGAGGGGAAGGGAAAGGAATCTGTAAGCCTAATCTGGGAGAACCAGGTCTGATTCCCCACTCCTCCACTTGCACCTGGCTGGATGACCTTGGGCAAGCCGTAGTTCTGATAAGAGCTGTCCTTGGAAAAGAGCAGTTTCTGTCAGAACTTTCTCAGCCCCACCTGCCTCACAGGGTGTCTGTCTGTTGTGGGGAGGGGAAGGGAAAGGAGTCTGTAAGCCGCTCTGAGACACCTTTGGGTAGTGAAGGGCCATGGGGTAGAAATCCAATCTCTTCTTCTTCTTCTTCTCTCTGCACCCAGGGACCACCATTCTGCCTACCCTGCTAATTGGGGGGGGGGCTGCAACTGTGAGGAACTGGACCCCTAAGCATGTGCAGTGTGTACACTTTCTCCATCGGCCTTGTATCTCTGGGCTGAGGGGTCATCCCTTACCAGGGAACGGAAGGACCTCCCGGCAGGCAGCCTTGGGACCAAGTAGGACCCTGGCTGGTAAGGCCAACGGAGCCGGCACTGGCTCAGATAAGCCTCCCCCCCCCCGGAGGGTCTCATAGCTCACGTGGTGAATCAGGAGTTGTTCCCACCGTTGTGGGTTTCCTGCCTCCCCAGTTGGCTGAGCCTCCCTCGACTGCAGCATCTCTCCGGGGTCCCCAGTCTATAAATCCTCCTCCCCGCCAGCTCCATCAGCCCTCCGGCGCTTCCTCCGGAGTGTTGCGTGTGCATCTTCAAGGGACTAAGAAGGACAGGCCACAGACGACACCGTCTTCGCTGAGCGGCCCAGAATGGAGGGGGACAGAGAACGCTGAGAAGGGAGGTCCTGCCCTGGGCCGGAAGAATATCTCCATCGTTCCAGGTGGGTAGCCATGCTGGTCTGAAGCAG